AGTTTGTCACAGCAATTTTGAAGTGAAGTCGTGATGGATGTGGTGGTGGCGGTGGTGATATAGATTGGAGTACCACTTAGACGTGCCCTTGCCTTGCCTGTGACAATCTACTACCTCTCTCTGTGTGCACATGTGCACAGAGGTGGGTGTTTGTGCTTCAGTTAGATTGTGCTTGCAAACAGTGCTGTGCCCATGTAACCACATGCAACTTCATACAGTTGAAAAGCAGCCCAGAGCCTTCTGCTCACATCCCCAGCTCAACAAAAATATAAAAAGCGAATACAAGCTGAGCCAAACTCTATCAATCAAACAGCAACACGTCTGACAGGTCGTGCTTTTTATTGCTCCATCTGTTATCAGGAGCTGCAGCGCACGTCCGTCTGCTGCACTTCACGCAGTTTTTTCCAGGCTCGGGTCAGATCCGTGTCAGACCCATCATCATGTAACCCCACCTCGAAGGACAAACCCCATCCCAGAGCCTCTCCGCCAGCGCACGAACACGTCTGCACAAAACTAACAACATTGAATTTGACGGGCCTCAAATTAAAGGCCTCGTTCACTACGAGGCCTGCGCTTCGGAGGGAAAGCTCCAAAAATACTGAGAGGCTGTTGGTGTTCGACAACAAGGAAGGAAATACAAGAGTGAGTGAGATGATCTTGGAATTCATCCATGCAGGCTTTCAGAGGGAAACTTATGGTGCGGATGTTTATGGATTTGTGGAGGAGGGAAATGATAGGCCTCTGGCAGAAGGATCCTCCTCGAGGCAGAGGGATAGATCATGTGACCACTTTCTTGGCGCTGACAGCTGTTGCCTCCATCTGTACAGTAGATGACCTTATGCTGATCTTCTTCTCTGTACTCAAGTGTGACACCGCACTACTCTCATACACCGTGCACATTGTAGTTGCAGAATAGAAGAGCTGACAGTGCTATTCTTTTCTGCATTTAGCTTTGGGTAGACTGTTCACCTAATAGCTGCTTAAATCATATTAACTTAACCCAGTAGTGCTTCTGCTGGTCCAGAACAGGTCTAATAATCAATTTTGATACTTTATAGAAAAACCATTTCACAGGAGTAAAAAAAAAAAAGATCATATCCTTTAATAATGTTAGAAACAAGCTCTTATATCTTCCTCAAATGCTTGATTTGAAATTAATGTTAGGAATATTATAATGGACCAAGCAGTGAAGGAACGTCAGGCACAGGTTAAAGTCCCTAAAAAAGTTTTTTTTAAACCCCCAAAACCCCCAATCGTAGGCCCATAAAAGAGATCAAAGTAATAGAAAAGCTGTCAACAAACAATACTACTGACTCAAAAAAACTGAACTACTTAAACAAGACCAAGGAGAAACTTAAATAGTGGCTGATCAGCCCACAAAGACACAAAAGGGGGTAGAACACACAACCCCCCCCCCCCCCCCTTCACACTTGCTCCGCCCCTTTCCTCCCTTTTTAGCTCATCAACCAAGAGGCTGGGAGCAGCTGCTACTGAGATAACTCAAAAGACAAAGAAAGATCAACTCATACACAGAACAGTGTAAACTAAAATGAGTGCACTTATTTCAGAATACAGTAAAGAAAATTAATTCTAAACCAAAACCGATTCTTCATTCCACTGTAAGTTAAACCATATATTTAAAGAAAGAAAAATATAAGTATAGTATAGTGTTATGTGTAAGTCTCTATTGTAGCACTGATGTTTAGTTGATAATCCCACTGTTTGTGACTGTAACTGCAGCCACCACAAAGATGTTTCAGAAAATGTTTGGACGTGATCGTTGCTGTTTGTGGACCAGTTGCTGTAATGTTGGAATCCAAATGTTTGCTTTAAAATAGGATTTCAGCTGTTTAACAGGACTATGCACCAGTTGTTGTACATTCGTCATTTCATAATGCTCCAAATGTTTTCTGTGGGTGACAAGTCAGTTCAGCCCCCGCACTCTTTTATTATGGAGAGGCATGCTGTTATTATGTGTTAAATGTAGTTTTGTTGGATTGTAGCATGTGTTTTGCTGCAAAAGCTGGATGTGTTCTTCATAGCTACAGCCATCATGTGGCATTTAAACGGTATGTTGGTACAAGGTCTGATGGTCCCACTCGTCTTTAGCATAATGTTTGATTTGTTTCTATTGACGTTTCTATTGTTGTTATGTTATTATGAATGTTGGGTCTAAGTTTATGAATAGAAACACATAAAGATTACTTGTATTGCAAGTCCCACAGACCAAAGTGCTGTGTGTAGCAATAGGTTTCACAGAGAATGGCCTAAAAAGGAGTAACTATCCAGTGAGCAGCTGAAAGAAGGCTGAAAATGCCTTGTTGATGCCAGAGATCAGAGGTGACTGTAAAGTAAGCAACTCAAATAACCACTTGTTACAATCAAGGTATGCAGAAGAGCATCTTTAAACATACAACATATTGAACCTTGAAGCAGATGAGCTACTGCAGCAGAAGACCACACCAGATGGCAGTCATGTCAGCCAAAAGCAAAAAACGGAATCTAAAATTCACATATGCTCACTAAAACTGGACGATTAACAACTGGAAATATTCACCTGATCGATGAGTCTTGAGCTGTACTGCAACATTCAGACAATAGGGTCACAATTTGGTGCAGAACAACCTTCAAGTATGGATCCATCCTGGTAGACAATGCTGACAATGTACTCACCGTAACCAAAAGGCCCCCACAGTCATTAGAGCCCAATCCAACAGAGCACCTTTGTGATGAGGGCGAGCAGTAGATTCATACCATCTGTGGCAACTGTATCATACTGTGTGCCATTAAGAATTAAAGCAGTTGTGAAAGGAAAAGGGCGTCCAACCCAGAACTAACAAGGTGTTCCTAATGAAGTGTTGCTTGGGAATTAAAGTGGTCAGCAATATGAAACGTTTTCATCATTTTAGGTTTCAAACCAATTCCCAAATACTTGCACAAAAAATAGTTGGATAAGGAGATTTGGATTACATGAAACCCCAAAACCAATATAATCTGCATAATGCTTCAATAGAAGAGGATGTTGAGTCTTGAGGTATTTGTGTTTCAGGCTTCAGATGAACTCAGCAGAGCTGGATGTATTTGGTCCATGTGTCCTTGTTAATCAGGGACCAGGGGACAAATGAGGGTGGGAGGCCTTTTCTGATGATGGCTGCTCCCAGGGAAAAGTCACATCTGTGTCCTCTCCTGAGGTCAGCTTTTCCTCGCTGTGTGTGGCAGTGATCTAAAAACTGTGCTGACTGCTCACCAAACAAACATGAGAAATGCACTCAGAGGCTGTATTACAGGGAGAAGTGAGGGGGGGTGCGTCCACACAGGCTGTGCGAGGAGACAGATTACATCTGGCTCGAGGGAGGAACTCATTAGATAGGATAACATCTTAAGACACCTTTTTCAAATCAGATATTTAACATTATTTTATACAGAAAAAAGGTAAAAACAAGCAGATGTTATTACAATTTTAATTATAAATGCTATAATTTTTTGGTTTTTTTTTACTAATTCTTATTTAATTTGTTCATCTTTGGTTTTTTGCCTACTGTTGCTATGTTATGGTGGGTTATTGATAAGAATTACCAATAGACAGCAATATGTCATGTTTAGCACAACCTTTGCCCTCATTTGCTGCAGACACGGTTTAATTATTAAAAAAACGTTGGTACAATTTTATCATGGCACTGAGCAAGATCAATCAACGACAACACAAACTCGCAAGGATGCAGAGGCAGGTTTAAACATTGCTAAAGCAAAGTGAGTGAAAAAACAAGTACACATACTGTGTTAAAATGTCTTACAGATGGATGTAAAAAAGTCAGCTTACGCGTTCAATTAAATATCACGATCTCATCCTCATACTGGGATTACACCATTAAAGGAGACTTCAGTAAATTTAGAAAATTTGCAAATTCCTGTGCGCAAGGCCACACTGACAAATACATGTATGAATGAATGCACACAAACACATTTCTTACACAGTCACAGCTAAAAGTTTTGGCAGTGACACAAATGTTTAATTTGATATTATTTGCTGCATCAGTTTTAATGTTTTTTCAGGGTGTTTTTAATGACACACATTTCATCCCTTGTACCCTCTCTTTGTCAAATCTTTGTCTCTGTGAGTGCCTGTTACACCAACTGCTGTGTTTTTTTCTGGTGGTCACTGATCTTTTGTGCTTTGATGGCTTTTGGTATAGTCTTTATGTCTTGTTACCCTGATGTTTCCACTTGCCTTCTGTCTGTGTATGTAACCTCAGTTTGGCTGTGTTTAAACCCTAGAGCCTTCCCTCCTGATTTCTTCTTTGTGTTTGTGGACATTGGTATTTTATATTCTGGATTTGCATTAGCAACAATAAAGGCAATATATGTTTTGTTTTGTTTTGTTTTATTGCTTTGTCAAGTCTGTCTGTCCTATCGTCCTGCATTTCATGACAACTCCTCACATGAACAGATCAGGTCAACCCATTTTTATATCTGTCTGCTCTTCCTGAAAATGATCTGGAAGATTAAGTTAACTGCAGATTGTCTGATGTTTCCTGATGTGAGCAGTTCACCTTCTTCGAAAACATGGGCCGTTTTCCTAGTCTTGCTAATCAAGAGCTTCAGTCGTAAGTGTACCGGTATAAAAAAAACTCACTGCTTGAACAGTTGCTACTCAACTGTGTACTGCCCTCTAGTGGCCTGATTCTTGTGTTACACACAGAGTGACATCACAGTAGGGTTTCTCATGCTGTGTGTGGTGTTTTTCAGTCCCAACTCCATCCACTGAGGAAGATCATGTAACAACGTTAAAAGCTGAAGAGCTGTCAGACTTCTGCTAATGGATCTTGTTATCGGTCAATGCAAATTTATATCAAAACAAAGCAGACATAATTTATTGGTGGTTTTCATATTTTAATTGGCCATTTTAACCACATAAAACACTTAAGCAGACACACATTAGAGGAATAAATTTAATTGAACTGATTAAATTAAGATAAATCATTTACAGGCAATAAGAACATCTTCCTGCATAGTGTTACAGTGATTTAAAGAGCAGCTGATCTAAAATAAAATGCTTAACTGTCATGGTTTTGGTTGTTTTGTGTAGTTCTATTCAGCTGTGAAGGTGCAGTAGATTCCCCAGTGATCACTAGTGTAGCGTCCACAGTCCAGCTTCTCCAGCCCCACCAAGGCCATGTGATCAGGGGCCAGACGTGGGACTCCACGTTTGATAGCCGGGCGGAGGTAGATTCTGTCAAAGCGGAAGCGAGCAGGTGTAGAAATATTCTGATTGGTGTTAGTAGTGGTGTCCCACGTGTAGCGGCAGTGCTCCTGCTTGCCCAGTCGCTCCCATACATCACAGACAGTTGCAGGCAGGCCCACCTTGGGTACCTGAGACGGGTCCAGAAAAAAGAGTTACTGTGATTACTTGTTACAAGTTTACTGGCTGTATCTGAGTGGAAGGAGCAGCGTCTGACCTCCGCGTCCCTCAGGTTTGTGTCTCCCCCAAACACAACGGTGACATCATCAGGTGCACGTTTAAACCTCCACTTCACCACATGCAGCTGATTCATACGCTCTTTAGAACATGCCTTAAAGCTCTCAAAGTGAGATGTCATCAGGCACAGCTTCTGGCCGTCGACGATCACCTGATTTTTGCAAAGGAAAATGTTCCTGAGCGTCACGTTCAGCTGAGCTTATGCATCTAAAGAAAATATCAGAGATGATTTTGCACACACCTGAGCAACAAGCAGGTTCCTCCTCATCTGAGTGGTGGGATAAGGTACTATCTCACTCTCCACAAATGTGACTCGTGACTTTTTCAGCAACATCCCTGTGAAGTAACCTTCCTCAGCACCTGGTCAACACAAGTCAGGAGGAAGTTGGAGACTTTTAAAGGCAAAGACCTTCAAAGGAAATCCTTTGTCAGGTGATCATGGGCTAGATTGCACATAATAACTGAAAGCACACAATATCACAGTGAATACACTGCTGCTATGATAGTGGGCTTATAGTGGGATTTATTCCACTCATCTCCAGCTCCATGTGTTTGTTTTATATCTCTACTAGGACAGCTTTGAATGATTCATTACTCAAAACTGTCTGAAACAAGCTGTTATGGCTCCTCCCCCTTCAAGCAGCCTGACGTCTGACTTACTAGAGTTACTACTTCTAGACAAAAGACACGAAATTCAAGTGTTTATAGCCTGAGTGTTGATACCCAGGATTTACCTAGCTTCTCCAACTTCAAACTTATTATTTGAAAATGGAGAATCATAGTAACAATACATACTTCCATATGTTGGATGTGAGAGAAAACAAGAAACTACCTTACAATATAAAGCACCTTGAGGCGACTGTTGTTGATATTCGGAGCCGTATAAATGAAATTGAATTGAATTACATACAGTATGTGATGGATGTGAGAGAAAACCAGGAAAACCAAAACAGGCTCAAACAGCTGAGCTTCTCCAAAGTGTATCCATGGCCTGTGTAATAATCTTGTAGTGTTGGTACAACAGTCAGGTTTAAAAAAAACAGTGAAGGAAGAATACAGATGTTAATAATATTAACTAAAGTCCCTAACAGCTCTCCTCATGTGAGACACTACGTGAAGCCAAAGCAGTTCAACTACCTTCAGCCATTAATCACCATTTGATCATTCATACATGGACTTTTCCTACCTGTATCTGACATACTGTACCTTCAATCATCAGGTAGCTCGCAAACCGTTTCTTCAAGAACTGGACATAAGGGGGAATGAGCTCCTGCAGGAACACCACATCAGGTTTGTATCTGCATTTACAAACATTATCTTTTATAATATTAACTCTCACATATATGCAGCCTTTAGCAACATTTCCCCTAAATGATGCCTAAAAGTGTAGCATGTGCTTACAACTTTAAATATTTAACCAGGCTTCTGGCACGCTCTGGACGTTTTTCCCCATTAATCCCGTCCACGTTCCAGGTGATTAGGGACAGTTTAAAATCCTCTTTTTCTGAGGGTTTCTGTGTGGCAGCAGGACTGTTGGCTGGACTGGCACCTGGAGTGTCGGCTGGAATGTAAGCAGGACTTCCATCAGGACTGTCATCAGCCAATTCCATCCTGCAAATTTTTCACACAGTCAGTCAGCTCAAACACAAAGAATCATAGGTGAACTTTACCACATGTAGGAGAACAGACAGCAGACTTACCAGTCATCTGGAGTAGTATCTTCACCACTGTGTGTTTCAGAGTCGCTCTCCATGTCAGCTTCAACAAACTAGTTCAAGGCTCTCTGAAAGAAAAGTGACAAGAAGGTTTTGTTTTCTATTCATTTACTATAACTGAAAAAGGGCTTGGCTGCAAATACACCCAGGCAGTTTCTCAGTATGTTTATTTGTGTACTTGTGTCCATGGTTGCAAACAAATATGGTTCATAGTATGTTGACAAGTTCTTGCTCCACCCATTCTATCAAGGTATGTGGCGGGGGCGTGGTCTTTGGCAGAGGAGGGGTGACGCAATGAGCTCGCGGGGCGGCGTGGAGGCGGGAAGGAGCAGGTGTGCAGAACTGTGTTAATGAGAGAAACCTTTCTTATGTCAAAGGAGCTTGCAAAGAAAAGCGTCTGGACTTCTTTAAGTTACTTGAAGACGTTTCACCTCTCATCCGAGAAGCTTCTTCAGTTCTAAGGTCAAATGGTGGAGAGTCCCAGATATAAACCTAGTGGGAGTAACCCCCCACAGAGGGACAAAAGGACCCCCTGATGATCCTCTAATTGCCTGAGCCAAGGTGTGAAACTGGGTGTGGGTCCCAATCAGCCAGAGTTTCGGGTGTGTTCATTGTGAAACCTGGCCCCACCTTATCATGCGAATTCCTGAGATCAGATGGCCCAGGATGTGAGTGGGCGTTAAGGCGTCTGGGAAGGGAACTCAAAACTGGATTATAGATGGCAGACAGTTGGTGTCGTAAACCACCGCCTCTGTTCAAAGATGGTCGCTCACAGTGGACATAGATGGCTTCTTTCACTCCTCTTTCTTTGTTTGTGCAGTGCCGGAGGTGCCCCAGGCTTCCCAGGGTTTTTTTCCCTTTGAGGTACTGTACAGCAGGCAGCCGCGGGGGGTACTCGACCTGATTAAGGAAAACTGGGAGGAAGGGTCGAGCCCCGCAAAGAATGAAATTCAATACGTGCTGGACTTGAAAGCAAAGTTGGACAGGTTTGGGAGGCTATCATGGGAGAATTTGCTCCAGGCCCAGCAACGTCAGCAAACCCTGTACAACAGAGCGGCTAGGCTCAGGCAATTTTCACCGGGAGACGAAGTGCTTGTATTACTCCCTTCCTCCAGCTCTAAACTGCTCGCCAAGTGGCAAGGGGCCCCTGTGGTCACATGGCAGGTGGGGGACATTGACTATGAGGTCGCCCGGTCGGACAGGGGAGGAGCGCTGCAGATTTACCACCTTAAC